GCATACAGTAAAAGAGGCTGTGAAACTCACTAAGAGTTTTTCTTTCTGTTTTTACAGAGCAAATGAAAATTTATTCTCTTGCTCTATTGCTTTTCCTTTTTTCCCTAAGGCACCTTCTCTTCTTTCGTTTTGTTTGCACTTGTACTTTTCTAGAGCACTTCTACCTTCCAAATCCATACCACTGGACTTACCGTACCTTACCACATTAGACAGACGCTCACTTCGCATTCTATGAGTTCCTTCCCTAAGGGGAGAGAGTCAGTCACCTGGATCCACCCACAGCTCTTGTTTTTTCCTTCTTATTCCCACACATTTTCCAACTGCTGTTCAGGGAAAGGAAGGCTGAAGTTGGTGGCCATGAACTAGAAAGAAGATGGTTGGCTGCTCCTCAAGATCTCAGCTTCAGTAACACCCTACTGCAGCCAACTGAGCTCACTAGATACACTTGTTAGAAGCAAGATTGTGCTTTTGTGGAGAATTATGCCAAAATTCTGCTTCAGCCCTCAGCAACAGATTCTTTGGGGTGTATTTAGTGAAAGGCCATTTGGGAAATGGACTGTACATGCAGCAAATAGGATTTTGGTTAAATGGTGACATTTGTTTCTAAAAGTGTATCAGAGGGGAAGCTAAGCTCTTCAGAGCATGTGTTCATTAAAGATTTGAAGTGGGGTGGGAAGCAATAAAAAAAAAAAAAAAGGCCAGTGGGTTCTCTTGTGAGATAGTTTTTTGTTCTTGTGAATTGAATACACTCTGAAAAGTTTCAAAAAGAGACTGGGAAGAATGTATTTTCTTTGATCCAACATGTGGAGTGTTCCGTACTACAAATGCCCTTTAATTTAGAAAAGTTGTTGAAAAGTCTGTTTGAAAGTACATAAAAATATAATATGTAAATAAGCTCTAATTAGCTATTTCAATTCATTGTTTTTAGTCTCTACTTTGCAGCGCTATTTTTCTCCCCATAATGTCGCTTTTCAGGGTCCAGCTTTGGCACCCTCCAAAAAAATGTGTTTTTGTAACAGTCATTATTAAGAAAACACATTTTTTCCCCCACTGAAAACCTCATAATGATAAAGTAAAATCCCAGACTGTGTATTTTTGTGGGAAATTGTTTCAGGCATTTTTAGTCCATGATTTGCTATTATGATAGTAAAGGAAATCTTGCAGTTAATTGAAAAAGCCGGTATTTTCTTCTTCAAATAAATGGCATGTGTTTTTTTTTTAGAAAATGAATCTGCACCAGGCCACCAGCCTCTAATCTTTCCCAATCATTCTATGTTCTTTCAAAGACAAATATATTGGATTTGGGGTTAAAGTTTTAATTTTGTCTAAGGTGAACGCGATACTCCCGGTGGAGATAAGAATACTGTGGAAAAACACTGGTAAAATGAACTCAGGTTGTTTCTACGTAGCCAGAGCCAATTTTTAGAAATTGACTAAGAACATGAAATGTTTGATTTTGGAAGCCTAGAAAGGAAACCCTGTGACAAATTATGAGCTTTTCAGTGAAAATTCTGCACGCCCACTGTACTTTTGTTGAATAAAATCAGAATTTTAGAGCTTAGGCAGGAGTTCTCAACCTGTGGGTCGCAACCCCTTTGGAACAATGAAAATACATTGTGGTGTTAGGAAGGTTGAGAACCACTGGCTTAGAGGGACCTTGGGGGCTACCCAGAAATTAGGGGCAATCCTCAGCTTTTACCCATCCGTGTTCCTAGCGGGGGCGGGAGAGGGAGCGGAGGAGGTTGCTCATTGGGAAGGCAAATTCCTGGTCCCTACCCCAGATGTACAAATCAAAATCATCTCAGGGGAAGGGGAATCCACATTTATCACAAAAATCTCCAGAAAATGCTAATGCTCACTAAGTTTAGCCATCTCTCAATTTAGGCTTGCTAGCCCCTTTATTTTGTGATAAGGAAGCAGGCCTAGAGCCATTTGTTTGGTCCTGCTCACAGGACTCTTAGGCAAGAACAGACCCACCCAGGCTTCCTATGCAACATGGTCCAAAGCAGTCTCAAGCATCCAGACAGATTCGAGCCTACTTCTGGGTCACTGGGGTGATTTTAGCACCAAGGGTAGGATGGTATGGTTCCAAATAAGTCCAAGACACCAAGGTAGGAGTTTATGTGCTGCTGCTTTTGTCTGAACTAAAACCTGAAAGAGCTCTAGCCAAGTTCTCTCATCCGTCTTTCATAAGCTGGGAGACCTGTGCAAATTTGCAAAGATGTTTAACTCATTTAGTTGGCTCATATGGCCGAACCCACAGCATGTTGAGCTTTGGGCCTGTGTTTAGGCTTTATGCTTTCTTAACATACATATTTGTATATTTTAATATTGTCTCATGTACATTGTATCCAGAAAATTAGAATAAAATTATCAGAATTATAGATTAAGATGAAAGTTAAAATTATAAGCCTAATATTACCTACTAAAGAATATCTAAATATTCAACAAACACTGATGTTTCTTACATCTAAAATTCAAACAACCAGCCAGGTGTGGTGGCTCATACCTGTAATCCTAGTACTCTGGGAGGCCAAGGCTGGTAGATTGCTTGAGCTCAGGAGTTCAAGACCAGCCTGAACAAGAGTGGGACCCCTTCTCTACTAAAAAAAAAAAAAATTAAAAAACTAGCTGGGCATGGTGGAGCACACCTATAACCTCAGCTATTCGGGAGGCTGAGGTAGGAGGATCAATTGAGCCTAGGAATTTGAAGTTGTTGTGACCTGTGACATTACAGCACTCTAGCCAGGGTAAGAGTGAGACTCTGTCTCAAAACAAATAAATAAAATAAAATAAAATTCAAATAACCAAAAGGCTAAAATAACGTAACTAATCTTTTCTGTGTTCTATGATGAGAATTTAAACTATAATGCTGATCCTGAATTTTTGCAAGATTGTGATCACCTTCTAAATCATTAGGAAAGACTGAATTTTATTTGATGTCATTTTAATGTTAAGTCAGTTTGACTATCTACTAATTTTTGGAAAGAGCAATATTCCAGTGTCTAGGAATTTCAAGTTCTGTTCCAGAGTTCATATATGACTCATGTAATAATATATAGTTCTTAGAATGGCAGCATATTTTAACAGGGATATGAATGAAAGTAGGCTGTTTTGAGAGGTACAGGTGATCAGGTTAAAAGGATGAATTTCAGAATAGGAATGGAAAATTAAAATCTCTGAATATACAAACGAAGTATTATACAGTACTTAGTTTATCATCCCTTCAACATAAACATTTATGGTCCACTACGTGTAAAGCTATGTGTTGAGTGATGAGGATTGAAGAATAGATCTGAGGAGTTTATAGCATGTCTCTGGCTGGACGAGCCCATAAAAAAGCATGATCTAAAAAAAGGGGCAGGGTGATTTAAGGAGGCACATGCTAAATGCCAAGTGAGCAGTGCAGTCTGGGCAGTGAACAGCAGCCACCTTCCAATATTCACAGCCCTGTGGTTGTGCCAGGGTCTCTCCACCTTCCACCCATTTCTCATTCCTCAGCCAGTCTGAAAGGCAGGAGCTTGTGATTTTATGCTGCTTAATAGTAAAGAAGTATCCATTCTAGGAAGGAACAGAACCACGCTCTTGAAGCATAATACTGATATATTTACTTACTGTCTTTCAGTAACTCCCATATTTAAAAACAATAGGTTCTAATCTTCTTTCTGGAAGATGTACCACGAAACTGCTTGATTTCTGATGCCATTGTATTTGTAATGAAAATGAAAGTTCTGTTGAGTTTTGAGATACTTACATTCATGGAGTTCATGTGCATCAGAATCTTCTTGGATTGACAGTTTAATAAATAAATGTTACTTCCTTATAATGGAAGTGGGAGTAACACTGATCATTATATTATTATTATTGAAAGAACAATTCATTTTTACCCACGTCCTGAAATAAGCTTAGTGTCAATGGTCAATATCACTGTGGTCAATATAGTTCTTGGTACCTAACCATGAAGGGGGCCATGGAGGAGGATTTCTAAAATGAAAACTGTAGAACAGAAATGTCAGAATAATGATACCATTTGTGTGTTCTCAGTACCTATTCTGGAGCTGCCAGGATTTTTTCCTTTGGGATCATTGTGATAGAATTTTTATACTTCTCAGTAGAAAGTAGTCCTTCCTATCTAAAGAAAAGTAATGGCTTCTTTGTGACAGGGCTATGATTATTACCAGGTTCCTGACAGTGCCAGAACAGTGCTCACAGAATCATGGACTTCCTTGGATCTGAAAAAGGCATTAATCACTTGTAGGCAAGCAATAATTTTGAGTAATGGCCAAGATGTGTTGAAGTATAGATTAGAGAAGAGGGTGCTATGTAAAGAGAAATGACATGTATTAGAGTTTACAGAGGGTGGACTGGGCACACTGCGTCATTTGGGAAACATTGTGGAGAGTTCTCTGCCTGGAGTATAGACGTTATATTCTAATTGGAGAGCAGTGTGGGAAAATTGGAGAGGTGAGAAAAGGCCAATCAAAGGCTAAATTCCTTTCATTGATTTTCTAAGCAAAGGAAGGCTACATATCAGCTTTAGGGATCATTTTAGCATCAGACAGTCTTAGAGCCAAATCTGAACACTGTCTTTTATTGGCTAGAAAGCTACTCAGAGGAGCTACTTAGCCTCACAGAAATCTTAGATTCTTCAACTGTAAGAGAGAGTTGATGGTATCTTCCTCATAGAAATGTGGCGAGTTTAACGGAGATCCTGTATGAGAAGCCCTCAGCAAAGTGCCTAGTGGGAATACAGTCCCTGATTGGCTAGTGAGGAGATCGAAGGTCGGGTGATTGGAGAGAGACTGGTCACTTACAGTAATCTGCCAGGACGTGAAAGGACGGTGATCATGACACAAGGAATAAGGGGACATATCTGTACAACTCCGTTCTCTGTAACTTCTTTGTTGTTGCAGACTTTCATTTAACTTGGGTGTTGTGTAAGCTTGTTCTGTGGTGTTAAATGTACAATAATCATAGATTCTTTGTTTTGCCTTGACCAGGATGCCAGCGATCCATAGGTCTTTCCAGCGGGAAAGCCAAGGTGTGCAATTACAGTGGGTGGTATTACTGCAGCAGCTGCCATGTGGATGACAGTTTTCTCATCCCGGCCCGCATTGTCCACAACTGGGATACTTCAAAATATAAGGTAGGTGCCAAAACTGGGTTTGCTCAATAATAGGAATTTGGGTGTTCATATGTTGTCAGGTAGATTAAAAAAGTGATGATAAAACAATTTGAAGGAATCTTGATTAGGTATTCTCATAAAAACTCCAAGGTCTTACCTAATACTTCTATATCTTACAGATTAAAGTCTTCTTAATTATGACTCCTATTGGCTCAGTGCCTGTGGCTCAAGTGGCTAAGGCACCAGCCACATACACCTAAGGTGGCAGGTTAGAATCCAGCCTAGGCCGCCAAACAACAATGATGGCTGCAACCAAAAAATAGCGAGGTGTTGTGGCGGGCGCCTGTGGTCCCAGCTACTTGGGAGGCTGAGGCAGGAGACTCGCTTGAGCCCAGGAGTTGGAGGTTGCTGTGAGCTGTGATGCCATGGCACTCTACCCAGGGGGATAGCTTGAGGCTCTGTCTCAAAAAAAAAAAATTATGACTCTTATTAATTTCTTCATTTAAAAAGATATATATTGCAGTTTTTACTTTTGTACCTTAGTAATTAACTATAGATGCTAAAGGAGAATTCTGCTAGAGAAAATCTCTTAATTAATTTTTATTAGATCTTATCTCCAACCTTGCAACACTATGGGAGGATAAAAATGGGGGAAAAAATACATGCAGGAAATCCTAGTGATCTTTCAAGGAGAACACTTGTATAATCTACTGTATTCATGACAGTAGAGTAGTACTCCTATTCATGTGAAGGTCAGTCTCTAGGTCCCTGGAACTGGATGGAAACTTAACAGAAGCTATGAAGACTTTTGGGTGGGGTCTCACAGCAAGAGACAGTGCACTGCGCCATCTTCAGAAGTTCTTTGGGAGGACTGAGAAGCACAGGTATATGCAAACAGCTTTGCAAAGTAACTGCTAACAGCTAAGCAGGATATTCAAGAAGTGTAAATAGCAAGCTGAGTAGCTGCAAAAATGCAAGTCAATAGAGAAGAGGAAGACTGGGCACTGAGGTGCTCCAACTCAAGAGAGGGAAAAGACAAGGAGGAACCAGCAAAAGAGGCCAAGAGGAGTGGGCAGTGAGGTAGAAGGATCCCAGGGTGTGTGACAAGCCACGAGAAGAGAGTGTTTCCAGATGAATTGTGACAGATGCTGATAGGTCAAATAAGATGAGCACTGAGAACTGACCATTGGCTTTAGTAATGTGGAGGTAATTAGTGACCCTAATGAAAGCAGTCTGAATGGAGTGGTGGGAGCAAAGGTCTGGTTGGAGTGGGTTTAACATAGAATAGGAAGGGAGAAATAAGAGACAAGAACAGACAACTCTTTTGAGAAGTTTTGCTACAAAGGGAAGGTGAGAGGTCAGGAGTAACTCAAAGGGGCTAACTTGGGCTCAAGTTAGGTTTGATTTTTTGTTTTAATGTTTTCTGTGTTGATATGAACTATCCAGGAGAAAGAGAATTGCCAGAATGTTAACAGTTGAATCAGTGAGGAGGACAGAATCATGTAGATGGTAGGAGGGTTCGGCCATTGCTTGGAGCAGAGAATAAGAGAAGAGGCAGTCTGGAGCTGGGGGCCGAGGGGAGGCAGATGTGATGTTAGGAGCTTATGGAATTTTCTTCCATTTACATCAGTAGCTTTTATCAGATTCTTTGATTTCAGCATCTGTGATCTTAAAGAGTCCAAGTCCCTGTGGGAAGTACTTTTATCTTCCACTTAGTAGACGAAACAGGGAATGATTACAAAGTCGCTCTGTCAGCCCACCTACCCACAGACTTCTGCGTCCACATGTCCTCACGGTCCTCCTTCCAGCCGTGGCAGAACATTACTTCTTTTATGGAAGTTTATTCCTTCAGCCTCTGTTCACAGTCTTAACTTCTCCCTTCTCCATTATGATTTTGCCAAATCTTATTGGCCTTTGGCAATTACTGATTGTCCTGGACTTTGCTGGGCTATAGCAAAGCGTTTGATCAGGTGGACCACACCTCCTTGAATTCTCCTGCCTTGGTTTTGCAGACACACCTCTGAATCCCCTCCTCCTTCTGACTCTTCTTCTTTAGTCACCTTCTCTGATTTCTTGTCCTCTGCCTATACCTTTAATATTGGGACTCTGTAAGGTGCTTTCTCTTGCTTTTTTTCTTCCCATTTTATACGCTTTTTATTGGGTTATTGCTCTTCCTTCTTTGATTTTAACTATTGGCGCTCTTCTGCTGATTCCTACTTTTATCTCCAGCTCTAGTTTTGCTACTGAAATTGAGATCTGTTGCTTCAGTTGCCTAATGGACCTCTCAACTTTAGTCTTCAACCTGGTACCCTTCAAGATATATGAATTGGTTTGCTATCTTGTACAGTAGTTCAACGATTGTGTAAACAAGATAGTAGAATTTGGCAAGTTTAGGAATCTAACTCCTCACTGGAGTGGTACTCTAGGCTCAGGATTCTGTTACAGTCCTATGTCTTATACGTATAACAGTAACATAATTCTGTCGCTTGTTATTACTAGAAGCATTTCTGATACCTCTGTCAGGAAATTGTGACAAACATCTGCCTTGAAAGAGCCTTCTGTGCAGGCTACTTCATATATAAACTAGTCTTTTAATTGATAGTTGTATGTATTTATGGGGTTCCATTTAAATCAGGGTAGCCATCATTTCTTTCTGTTGGGAATATTCAAAATATTTTAGCTATTTTGAAATATTCAATAAATTATTGTTAACTGTAATTGCCCCAGAATGCTGTCAAACACTAGAACCTCCTCCTTCTAACTGTATGGTTTTACCCATTAACCAATTTCTCTTTCCTTACCCCTCCCCATTATACTTCCCAGCCTCTGATAACCACCATTCTACTCACTACCTCCATGAGATTATTTACCTGAGTGAGACCATGCAATATTTGTCTTGTTGTGTTTAGCTTATTTAACGTAATGACCTCCAGCTCCAACCATGTTGCTACAGATGACAGGATTTTATTCCTTTCTATGGCTGACTAATATTTCATTGTGTATATGTACTGTGTTTTCTTCATCCATGTATCCATTGATGGGCATATAGGTCGACTCCATATATTATCTCTTTTGGATAGATACCAAGCAGAGGAATTGCTCGATCATACGTAGTTCTATTTTTAAGGAAGCTTCACATTGTTTTTCACAGTGGTTATAGTACTTTATGTTGTTACCAACAGATGATAAGCATCCCCCTTTCTCTGTGTACCCACCAGCATCTGTTATTTTCTGTCTTTTTCACAATAGCCATTTTTGCTGGGTTCTGATAAGATCTCCTTGTGGTTTTAATTTCCATTTCTCTGATGATTAGTGATGGTGGAGAATTTTTTATATAAATGTTCTTTGGCCATTCGTGTTTTTTTTTTTTTTTTTTTTGAGAATTGTCTATTCAGACCTTTTGCCCATTTTAAAATCAGATTACTATTATTGTTATTACTATTATTTTGCTATTGAATTGAGTTGCTTATATTTTCTGATTATTCATCTCTTGTTGGATGGATAGTTTACAATTAGTATCTCCCATTCTGTAGGTTATCTCTTCCCTTCATTGATTGCTTCCTTTGCTATGAAGAAGTTTTTTAACTTGATGTAATCCCGTTTGTCTATTTTTGTTTTTGTTGCCTGTGCTTTTGAGGTCTTACTCCAAAAAATCTTTGCTCAGACCAATATCCTAAAGTGTTTCCCCAATGTTCTCTTCTAGTAGTTTCATAGTTTCAGGTCTTACATTTATGCCTTTAATACATTTTGATTAAATTTTTCTATATGGTAGGGGAGAGGGGTCCAGTTTAGAACTATGCCTAGCAAGTAGTATATGCCAAATAAGCCTTTGTTCTTTTCATCATTCACACATTTACCTAAAAGAATTGTGCAAATTGGGATAGTATAAGAAAAACACTTTGCAAATGACTGTGATAAACACTTAATAAACGGAAGTTGTCACTATTTTCATTGTCATCACAGCTGTATAATTGGTAGCTTGTCTGTTTCCCTGTCAAGGTGATGTGCTCCTGCACAGGCAGCGTGTATTAGCAGAGTTCCTGGCTCACAGTAGGTGAGCAGGAATGTATCTTGAATAAGTGAAAGAATGAAGCCTATCTGGGGCCCCTCAAACTCCACATGCTCCACGTTAGATATCATGCTCCCCAAATGTTACCCATTGAGCACACTGTCTGCCTTGGGGTGCGGCCGCACAGTTACCACTGTGAAGACGGAAGGCATCCTGGACCCCTCCCTCTGTCCCACTTGCCCTGCCTAAGCAGTCAGCAAAAACGAGCTGCTTAATTTCAGCTCTCAAGGTCGTGCTCTCCACAGCACCCCCAGGCCCTCAGCATCACTTGCCCCCTAATTGTGCTTCCTGCCTTTAAGCCCTGCCCCTCTGGTCGGTATATTTTTAAAAGTCCTACTCTTGCCTTTGCACCTTAGTTTTAGTTTCTGTGCCTTTAGGATGGAGATAATAACACGCCCATGTCATAGGGTTGCTCTTTGCCTGAGTGAGTGATTCACAGAAAGTGCCTCACACGGTGTCTGGCTCACAATAAGCATTCAGTTAAGGTGAGCTTTTACTGTGGTCGTATACACTGTAAATGCAATTCTCTGTGCCCGACATACAAGACCTCTGTGATCTCGTGTCGCTGCCTGCCTGTGGAGCTCATTCATCGTAGTCCCTCCCCACACCGATCTCTTCATTAAGATCACACGCATCCTTCCTGTTTCCTTGTCAGGCCACGCTATTTCACACCTCTGGGCTTCCTCTTGCCCTCACCCACCATGAAAAATCCTGACACCCAGCTTAAAACCTTATTTCCTCTCCTGTTTCTTCCCTTCCCCTCTACCAGACAGAATTATCATCCTCTCCTCTGCTTCTTGTACTTGACACTTTGAATATAGGCTATAAATATATTTGCCATGTGCGTAGTAGATAAAAATTGTATTTAGAAGGAAAGAATGCTCGTGGACTTTGGTTTGAATGTTCAGATTAATCCACGTGGAGCAGAGCTTTGACAACTAAGAGAGGTGCT